TTTCGCAATTTTTTAAAATTTTATTTCAACTAAAATCAAAATCAAATTAATCGCCCTACTGCACCAGTCTACCTTTAAGCATAAAATATTAATATGCTAGGGATACATGTCACTTTGTAGTCGAATGCGTAATATAAAAAGAGAGATTTTCCTCATTTTGGAACCAAAATTAGGGTCTACTAATTTGGATTTCTTTTCATCTGTATGACCGTCCAGAAACATTTCTGAGGTATGCTTTGACTCGAACTTAAAATAAACTATGTATGATGACTTACATACACATGTATGTATGCACATCCATTGTTTATACTGTTTAATAACATATGGCTGAATGGCAGCCATTTTTCTCTCAAAGATGAACATGATATGATCATGCATATTATGTTAAACGTACACGTCATATTTTTTGGCTTGCTCATAATAAAGTAAAGGGGGAGTCATAGTAAAATGTCTGTCGTCCGTTGGCGTCATCATTGTAAACTTTTCTTCTGCAAATTGCACATGTTTGAAATAAAAATGGTTTCTCAGAATTGGACAGGGCAATTTTCAAGGTTTGGACATTTTATGGTATCCATGCAAATTTCTTTAGGATACAATGACTGATAGATGATGTATGAAACCTTTAAATAGACATATAAATTTAGATGTGAAATCAACTATCGATACTATTACCAGTACTACAAAACTGTCACTGGTTATTGTCAATACCGGGGTAGTTGTTTCTCATTTGGTCCAAGTTAAGTCCAACACTAGACTCAATTCAGTTCCTTTATCAATTGCTGCACTACTGTCAGCTGGGGGAGCTGTATACATTGAAAATTAAATGGTGAATACACCTCTTCTCCACTGTATGACTCTAACACGAATGCGATAATGAGGCGTAGTGAGTGGCTACATTAAAAACAATTATATAGTACACTGACAGTTATATAGTATACAGTGACCCCTCGCTAAGTCACGATTAGTAAGTCACGATATCGGCTAAGTCACAGGAAATTGAATAGCATGTAAAAAAATTCTATTGTCTTGTTTTAGCGATGGCTAAGAAAATGGCTAATGATTCATTGCTTCGTGTAATTAATGGTTAATTAATGGTTAATTAGGTATGAGTCAGTTGGTGTTGGTGTTTCTTCAAACCGTTTCAATGTTGTCAGCATTTAACACCCATTGTTCTGTCCGTTACTGAGAAACAAAAGGTACCTGCAGCTCGGTTTAAGATGTCAAGTTTCTCGGTCAGTACTGCTTTGATAAATCCTTACAAAACTCACTGCAATATGATTAATTCATCAATCGGATCTCTAGTTTTTAACTGAGCAGTGTGTCTGAGCGAAAGTTATCCGATCTGTTTGTTTTCGATAACTCACATTTTTGGCTTGGAATTCAACATCTGTGACTTAGGGGGTCACTGTATATTTATGACTGTATAGTAGTGTCAAATTTGAATGTATACTAGAATGGAATCAAATCTTTGCATATATCTGCAGTGTATTGAAAATATTATAATTATTTTTATTCTTCACAGATAAAACAATGAGAAAACGAATGAAATCTACTGACGACATCAGCCAGAATAAGGAAACAAAACAATCGCAAAAAACAGTTGGTGATGAAAACAGCCACAATGAGAAAGTTTGTACGCAAAAGAGAACAATGAAGAAATTGTTCGGTTTCGATTTTCAAGATATAAATGAAAAGGGTGTTGTTAAACTCTTGAATGAACCAAGAGATCCATCATCTCTTGGTGTCACCAGGATAGCATTCGGTAACGTACTACTGTCAACTCATACCTGTGTTCGTCAAATAGTGATATCAACCTGCATAAAAATACTCATCAATTATACTGACATTAGCTTGTTGTTATTCATTATAATGCTACTATTATTTTGATATTATCTATTCCAATAATAACATTATCTTAATATTATCTATTATAATTATAATATTATTATTTTGATATTATACATTTTAGTTATAATATTATTCATTATTTTACATCAAAACAATAGAATTTGCAATTTCGTGAAAAGCGGTATCAGCACTCATTCGAACGTTCAAATTTGTTCTTATATTTGGTAAACTATGTGACGATCATTGACGCCTTCCAGGTTATTGACGTCACATTCGAACACTTCTTTCCTTGCAAGTAGAAGCGTTATAGCACGTGACAGAAATAAAATCTTGTTCCTGAATTCAAATGTTTGTTCAGTGCGAAACATTTTTTGGGCGATAATCTCTCATTAAATTATTACTGCAAGAAGGAAAGCGATGTATAATAAGGTCATCCCAAGGATACTGCCATGTATGCACTCGGACGTGTTGGTCGATATGAATGCAGTACTGCCTTTGTCAATACTTTGCGATATTCTCTTGATAACCTCATACTGTAAAGGGGTAATTATTCACTGGGTTTTAATTTAGCTTATTTTGCTGACTGGAAAATGCGCTAAATTAAAACCCAGTGAAAATTAGTCATTTTACAGTATTACCGGTATAGTTATGACACATTTTGATATTATTTATTGTTATTAGTATATTATTTATATGATAACAATGATAATGCTGACATTATTACATTGATATTATCCGTTATGATTTCATCTTTTTAATTTTAACATTTTAAAATTTTCTCTTGCTATCCAGGTCTTCTGATGATATTTGATACTTTATACGAAAGAGGTTTCAGTGCCGCTGACTACAGATGGGGCGATCCTTATGAATGTCGGTTTCCACTGTTTGACTTCCTAAAACCCCTGCCAGTTGATTGGATGTATGTGGCATATCTTATTATGCTCTTAGGTAAAGTACACTATGAAATATACTCGTTGACCTGTGGACATCCTGTCAGCAAAACTTCTCACGAATGTATGTGTTCTTGAAATCCACTACCATTATCCAGTGTTCTTGAATAGTTGGTGGTAATGTTTCTGGTCTAAACACTATTCATTTTTGTGTTTTTCAGTCAGTTTTCACAAAATAAAATACCGGTACACATTTTGTATTTCAAATTTTAATCAATGCTTATCCATCTGGACTAAAATTATAAAAAATTATAGAATATTCATAGTGTGCAAAATATGGCATAATAAGAAATTAAGTCTGTAGTTATAACGGTATTATTATACATCTGTCATCGTAACAGCGTGCCGTAATTTTGCGGTATTTTATGGGGTATTTTCATCCTACCATATTATATTGCCACCAGGGTTTAACTAGACTCCACACCCAGTCAGTACACCTTCGCATCGACCTTGACTGCATGCCGGTTAATACTTCGGCTGTACTGTCTTTGTGCATACTCATATTCCCATATATATATTTTTATATATAATTTTTGACCAAATTGATATAATTTCAAAGTGAGTATATTACATATTTTTGAAAAAAAATATGGAATAAATTAACAGGTTTATATGGTGAAAAGCTACAAAAGGTGAATTTGGTTTTTAATTTGTGTTAAAATTGATTTCCAAAAAAAGGTTGCTACATTGTATCTGTAGTTTCTAAAAATGCAGCAATTGACAGGACACTTATGTTTCTATCTGAAAGACTATTATATTGATTTGTACACACACAAGTATTGTATAAATACCTTGGTGTTACTGACACATGTTGCTTTTCTCAGCATACTTGTTATAATGCTAAAAGGTTAAGTAGGTTTATATTAAAACATTTAGTTTCTAGGATATTGTTGATATACGTTTTTATCCACACGTTGAGGTGAAATGTGCAAATTAATGGGCTGTCAGCCAGTTTCATTTTTGTTGAATGTTTATTACTACAGTTTTATCAGAATTTTTTAAAAGATTAATGTTCATTTGTGAAAAGATTTAGCATTGTTTTAGATGTGTTCTATTACAGTCTGACTGTATCTTGAAGTAGAATGCTAGTCGTGAGTTTTTTACATTAGCAGCAGTTTCTATAGACCACAATGAAAACACATTTTTTTTAGTAAAAACCCGATAGAAATATTGTCAAAATGAAATACCTCGAGACATCAAAAATTACCTTGTAAGACACTATATACCTTTTTTCACCTTACGTCACCGAGATACGAGTCTCATATAGCAACTTTGACTGTTACGCAGACCAACTTGCCAAGTTTTAACTAGATACATGTTTTGTAATTTCTTCGATGATTAGTGCATGTCGCCAAAGTTAAAGCTTGTACTTGTGATTTTCATTAGAAGAGCGCATTGGATTGTGGGAAAATCAATGTTTATCAACACAAATGTCGCACATGCGCGACGTGGCAACTACCACTCTTGAACATTTAGATGGCTTACAAATAACCTAGAGCAATGTTTTGGCTCCCTTTGAAAACCACCGTATATACTGTGGAATACTTTATTTTCGTTGGAATTAATTTTCGCTGAAAAGGCTTTTTCCGCGTTTTGTATGGAATTTATTTTCACTGATTTTTGATGAGTTTAATGTGAAATATAGGGACAAAAGTATATTTGCTGGATTTTAATTTCAAGTAATCATCCTTTCAGCGAAAATAAATTCCAAGCGAAAATAAAGTATTCTACAGTATTTAAATTGTGCAGAGTTATCGAATAAAATACC